TCAACTTTTATTCCATAACTATCAGTATCAGTATATACCAACTTGATATTATCTTGATATTTTGGTTTCAAAACATCACAATAGAAGGAATACATGTGAATTTTAGAATAGTCTAAAATAGACATACCCATGTAGATAGGTTTGTTTAGTTCCACTGTGTGTTTATCTTTTTCAACAATTACAAGGTCTTCATTTATGACATACCTGTGCTTGAATAGCGGTTTATTTACCAGTTTTTGGAAGCATTCAGGCGTATTGACTATCTCAGAATCACCATGCTTTCTTACATTCTCCATGGTCTTGCCATATACACTGTTGTTCATTAGCTTAAACAAATCTTTTTCAAAATCATGTTTGGCATTCTTTCTCTTTTCGGTGTTGAATTCAATGAATGGTTTTAAGAAATTTGCTTGCTTAAAACTCATCGCTCTATGGACTTTTCTAAGACGTAATCCATGTTGTAAATAGAACTTCAATGCTGATATATGTAAAACATACTTCTTTTTACCCATAACATTTAATACTAATTTATTTGCCTTTCATCACTGGCATCCTTTCCGTAATAGTATTTGTGTATATCCTTTTGGACTTGTGAAAGCATATTCTCATTGATACACATGATTTCAGGCGCCAATGGATAGTCTTTATGTAAATCATGAAGTTCCTTTGGATAATCTAAATCAACTTCTAATATGTATCCTATGTCATCATCATCACTATATTTCATTACCCTCTTCTCATCCATTCTGTCGTAATACCATTTAAAATCGTCATAAGGCAGTTTCTTACACATTGCTAATCCGTAAAGGTTATTAGCATCTAAATAACTTATGTATGATGAAGGTTTAGATTTATCATAATCTTCATTCATGTATTTATTGTTTGCTTCTACTTTCTTAAAGGAGCACTGTGTCATGCCTCCTCTTAATCCATGTTCAATCATCTAATACATTTCTTTTATGTGTATTTGTTGTAGTCTAACTCCTGTCAATGATAAAAAGGCATTCCAAGAATAGTTAGGTAAAGTGATATAATATGCTGGGTCTAATCCATAATAGTTCAAACACATTCATATCCCTAAAATTTTCAAAAACATCAGTTAGTAAATATACATCAGTCATCAAATACAGATCATGATATTCACCAAGATTCTTAATGCTAAAATGTTTCCACACAATATTTGCTCTGGCGTAGTCTTTGTCAGTTATGTTTTCTTCATATAGTTGACTGTAAAAAAACGTCTTTGTCTGGTAGTTTTATTTCATCGAATTTCTCCCATGAGTTCATGTAGTCATAGGGATAGACACCCTTATCAGTCAGCAAATTCAAATCAGTTTTAGATTTGATATATGGGTTGGTGCTTGTATATCTGAAACGAGTTTCCCAATCTTTAATCTTTTGATTTCCTTCATATTTCTTTAAGCCAATTACCCCGGGTCGCTAACCGCGCCGTAGCCTTGTTTAATCTAACTAACTTATCTAATGAAGCAGTTAAGAAAGCGAAACTGTCTTTAAACTGACAGGCACCAAATGAAAAGGTTATGAACTTCTCACTGTTTTGTGCTATTACATCTATTCTTTTGTTTTGGTTTAGTTCTATGTTTAGTTAATTTGCTCTGGCAATGATTAAGTGAGCGTCATAGTTTTTGAGATTATGAAAGAAAATAGGGATTTCAAAATATCTAAATGAATAATCCAGATTACATTTTACATGCGCTGCGCCTCTGCATTTGCCTGTGAAGTGGCGGTGGTCGCGGACTTTCTCATCATCAGGTTCAAATTTCTTCCCGCAGATGGAACAATGAGACGATAATTTAAACTCAATTTTTTGTTCGTTTGTTAATTCATCCACTGGTTTATTAACATTCATTTTTTCAAAAATATCTTTCTTAATTTCGGTCAGTTGTTCTACAAACTGTTTCATACAATCCTCACCTCTGTATAAATACGGTTTGCAAGTATTATCAATCCTGCTTACAACATTCAACATATAACCGCAAGGTTTATGTTCTTGGTAAGTTCCTCTGGGAGCACTGCTTCCAGAGCAACTTAGGGCACCTTCGGTGCCGTAAGTTCCCTTTATTTCAGTATTAGAGTTAGTGGTTAGACATTCAAAATCACCATAGATTACGAAAGGACAAGGCAATTTAGTATTATGCTGTTCAAATTCTATATAAGTGTCTTTCTTTGGCATCTTTGTTTGTTGCCCCTCTGATGCCATACATCCTTTTTCAAGATGGTTCTTAAATGCCTTTTCTGATTGACATGGATTTAAGCAATGGTGACAGTAGTGTTTTTGCCTTGTATTAGCGTTGATTTGACAGTTAAGTAATCTACTTTTGTTTTTTACTAAAACATAGTGATAATTATTGTCTTCATCATAGACCTTTAATAAATCAATCTCATATTTGGCATGTGTATTTTTAGTGCCTCTATGTAATATGATTTTATTATCATTTAAGCAGTCATCAGGTTCAAAAACATTTATTGAAACTAATTTATTGTTCTCTTCAAATCTGTCTATGTCCCTATTACCAGTCGGAATAATTACACCATCCCAGTTCAAAATATCATCTTTTAGTTTATTGTAGTGGAACATTTCTTCTGGGTGATGTTTGCTTATTTTGTCGTAGACTACCGATTGAATACAATATCTAAAACATTTTTGGTCTTTGGTTTTAATGTTGATACATGCCTTTCTTAATTTAATCCATTCTGGTAGTTCTATGTATCTCCCTGCCCTTGTTGGGTCATATCTGTCATAATGAATGGTTATTGATAAAATCTGTTTGAAGCGTAAATTAGATGCTGATGCTTCTAAATTTTGTATTTGTAATAAGATTTGTTCAACACTGTCTTCTAATGCTTGTGTCAGTTCATCCTCATTACTGATATTGAAGCGGGTTAAAGGTAAAGCATATACAAGTTCTTGACTGCCGATGTCATTTCCTCCATCATCATATTCAGGTTTTTCAAAGAGTGCTTCTGTTCTTATGTTAAGTTTCACGTTTCTATTCTTTCTTAGAAACTCTACTAGTCTTGGTTTTTGGTGTGCAATCATTTCCAGTCCTCGTTCTCCTTCAAAGTGTCTATTTTCTAAAACTATTGAATTAGCATATCTTCTGAATGCTGATTGAATATCTCCGACCCTAAAGTTGTTTCTGATTGCGTGTTTGGTCAGTATTTGTCTCACTCTTCCTTCACTGAACGCATCTTTTGCCTTGTTTAAAGCATAACTTCTGTATTCATTAGTTTTCTTTACTGTCAATAGTTTCTTTGTTAAAACAGTAGATATTGGTTTGTATTTGTTGTATCTAAATCTTTTATCATCTATCATTATTATTGACTTTAATTCTCTCCTTCCTCGTTTTGGTATTTCTGCTAAATCATTACTTAGTAAATAGTCTATATTTTTGTTTCATCATATAATAGTATATATTTTATCTAGTTAATTTATCTTTAAGTAGGTTTTTAAAGAATGATATATTTTAATCTGAGAATATTTGCTGAAAGAATAGTTATTTAAGTATATATTATTAGGATGAATTTTATGAAGGATTTGCCTGTTGATGTATTGAGTAAGTATTGTATCATATACTCATGGAGATCCTGAATATGTGAAAATGAAATATAGACATAGTGAAGCATTGGAAGAGTAGAGGATACATATAGAGTATCAAGACTTGGTCCGAAAAAGGACAGAACGATAAGACAAAGAGACAAGATGTATATAGAGTATTGTATTTTGAGAGAGGGAGTACCATTTAGTTTGAAAAGTATAAGAAACATCATAACAGAAGAAAGAAAGAATTACTATCTTTAATTTATGAAGAAATCGAAGATAATTTAGACTTTAGGGTTAAACCTGATATTCAAGTCCAAATAGTGGCAAAACTCCCAGATAAAGAATATGGGGAGACTGAATTTAGTTTTGGAGATATATCTTATCACGGTCAATATTATGAAGATACAAATGAAGATGATTTGGGAGAAATATTACATGCCGCAGTGGATGAAGTAAAAAGCAATATTGAAGAAGACCAAGACGTGGAATACAAGCATTTCATTTTAAATTAGTAATTATTGAAGACATTTACCCGACATAATTCTAATAACATTATTTAGTCGATTTATGGACTGTTAAAATAGGATTGTTCAAGACTAAGAATTTATCTTTATTGTTGGTCCATTGTTTTGTTCTTTGTGTTGTTCTTTGCTTGGTCTCTTTGTTTTTTTTTGGTTTTGTTTGGTTGTTTTGCTTTTGGGTGTAGAATGGATGAGGTAATGACGTATTGACTGTTATGATTTCTAAAAACGGATGAGGTGAAGTATGATAGGTGGTTATGATTTAGTGGAATGAACAGATGATGACATGATTAGTTGTGATGATTTTGTGAAACTGAATGAGGGTGTGATGAATTGACTGTGATGATTTTGAGAAAATGAATGAGGTAGAGATATTGTAGGTACTGATGATTTTGAGAAATGAATGAGGTAGTGGAAATGGTAGGTGCTTGTGATTTTGTGGAATGAATGAGGTAATATATGGTAGTCTTTTATGTTTTTGTTTGCGAATAATTTTTGACTTGTTATACTGCTATAATTTGAGTTTAGAAAACTTCTGTGAATGTACCTTTTTAACACTTTTTAGGGGAGCCTATCCCAAATCTGACACCCTGGTATCCCAGTTGATGCTAGTAAAAGATATACAGTAGATTGCTACATCATATTCAACCAATAAAGAGCTTGTTCAAGTTACTTTCTCATCAAACCGAACCTATGTAAAAACTCATCAACTTTTCAGGAATCTTTTCCCACTCATGATGATTTTTCTATCAAGAAACTCCACAGAGAGATATAAAGAGCTTGTTCCATTTATTTTCTCATAAAACCGAATCCGAACCCTTTTTTTTTTTAACTCATCGACTTTTTACGAATCGTTTGGCCTCACCATCTGATTAAAAATCCAGAACTGCGCTGAGCTCCCCTGGGTCCCCTGCTCTCCAGTGTCATCCAGCGCTGCCTTGACCTATGGCAGTGGGCACTGGCAATGAGCTGAGAAAAAAGCCAACTTTCGAAGCGCAGTTCATCGTTTCCAAAAAAGCAAAATCCGAATATAAAATATTGATGAACTGCCTTTCTATCTTTTTCGGGTTTACTAAAAGCTAAATGTAACATCATTTGACCTGTGTAATATGTGTTTTTTGGGTAGCTTGGATTGGAATATGAGTTCGAGCCAGTCCCTGACGTGAAAGTCCCTTAGATATCGTAGGGGAAATAGAAGACCTTTGAACCCTCCGAAGATAATGACAAAAAGTGATGAAACCTTTCAACCAACAGTGTCCGGTATTGTGAAAGGCCCGTTCAAACTCCTTCTTGCTGATCATTAATTAGCTTCCCTCTCGGGATTCAGCCTAGGATTCCTTCCATCAAGGCCCTAAGGCCCTTGGTCCATGACTGCAGGTGATGGCAGCCTTATTTTGACGCCTACAAAAGGCCGCCTAGGCCCCCTCAGTTTTCCAAACGCATACCATAGATTTATAGATGACATTCACACCGCACTGATTCCTGGCACATGCAATTTGAGAGGTTCCCTGTCTTCCTTGGCCATGCTTCACACGCAAACTGTATTGAGAGCGCCACTGAATCGAGCAATGAGTGCATAGCCTGAACAGCCATGTGCTAGAAGACCTTTGAAACGACTATGAGCACGCCCGAAGCCCCGAGCCTTTGATACACTTGAAAGATCTCCTTGGGCACGAACTTGCTCCAGAAGTGAGTGATACCTTCCAAGGTGCCAAATGCATCAATGAGACTGTCGGCACTACCATGTGGCCCCGTATGTATGTCTCCGCAATTGCTAGGAACATGCACTGACGGATACCTTCCACACCGGTCAATGCATGGGGCACCAATGGTGTTGTCTATTGTCCGCCGGCTCATCCTGAGCAATCACCCTGACCACAACTGGTCCAATATGCTCCAATTGTCCGCCCCAAGTCCAGTAAGTTCCGGACCATCGCTGCACCTGGCCGAGAATCATTGAGCCTGGCAGCAAATCACAGCAGCTGCAGCAACTTCAACCAGCGCCATGGGCCATGGGCCTTAGAGGTGGAAGCTTTTCAGCCGAAGCCATGCGGGACTTCTCCTGCGTCTCCAGAGCGTCCTCCCCAAACATCATGTGATCCCAACAAGGTGAAGCCAACAGGATCCAACAGGTGAAAGGAATGCTGGAAGCCTAGGGCACCAATCCCCTCGAAACCGCAAAATCTCCTGGAGCTTTTGCCTGGCTTTCTCCCTCTCTGCCTGGGCATGCCCAGATCTGCCCAGGATTTGTTGTCTAGTCATGTCTAGTGAGTCTAGTCAAGTCCACTCCAGGAATCCACTGCACTCCAGGCCTGGTAGTCATAGACTGCTGCCCGGAGGATAGCCAGGGAAGACCTGTGCCCACCAGGCCACAGCACGGCACAACAAAACCCGAAGCCGAGGCTAAGGCGATGATGGATCCTCCGGCTCACGTAGCTGCGCCATGGCCTGGTGTTCCATGGGATAACCAGGCGAAATCCCCAACCGTTCAAGGCGTCGTTCTAGGCCCAGGACCTTTTGGCGGATGGCTTTAAAGCGAGCACGGGCCTAGAACTTGCAAAGCCAGTTCAAAGACCATCATGGTGGAATCAACTGGGGGCAGCACCAGTGGCACAACAGGATCTTGGGCTCTGGGTTGCTCATTGTTTCGCTGCAGGCCCTGCAAGTGGATTTGAACCATCCGCCAAGTGCTGCAAAGCTGTGATCAAAAAAGGTTTCTCCACCTTACCACCGTCATCGTCGTCACCGCGTCTCTTATCAGGCAGCACCTGGAGAACATGGGGAGGCATGTGGCAGTCAGGACTGGCTTCGATATACAATGCAAACAGCAGGACGTCCACTTTTCTAAGCAATTCCTGCGCTATCTCTGCCAAATGTGATACGAAGGAACTGGCGACGCAAACGGCTATTCACCAAGCTGACATTTTTGTGGGAAAATACTAGCGCGACACTCTTCAACTTTGCCTAGCCCCTTCGTCTCCAATTCCCAACCCCCAGACACGAGTCTCCATGCGAAGGGGGCATGACACTGCTTGAATCTGGCATCTGCCACTTCCACGGAACGCATGCCGCGTCAGGGAACGGCAGAGTTGGGATCTCAGCCCTTGCGGCGTGATCAGGTGGCAGTTGCTGACAGCGAATGCCACAGAGTAAAGCTCAAAAAGGCCTTCTTTTTCTTGGCTTTCCCTTCAAAGCCACCATATATTTCCTGCACCATCACGGACCATCACGTGGTTCTGTTGCAATCCCAATCTTTTCTTAACAACAGCAGGGCACCTTGATGCTTTCCGGAGGGATGCGGATCACTTCCGTACCATGCTGCACCGTTCGGTACAAGTCAAATGCCACCACCTGGAGCCCACCAGAAATCTAGAAGCATCCTTCCAAGTCCTACCTGAGGACCTGGGAACCAACTCCATTTATGACCTGTCGGATCTTGGGCTCAAGCTCCGCAATTTACCATCTTGGCCGTTTTCGCAGTGTGCACGCTAGACTTGGGCATGAAGCCTTGTCCAAAGTTTCAAGTCAATTCTGCTGAGAAAGTGGATAGTATGGAGGCAGCTAGGGGTATGGGATGGTATGGGCATTGGCGTATACGGCGTAGACAGGGCTTGTCCCCAGGAGAACCCATCCAAACTGCCAATAAAAAGCAAGCAACTCTTGAAGAACTCCCTGAACCAAAGCGAGTGCCCACCAACCTTAGGATCAAAGCTTGAATAAGCGGCTTTAATGAGTCAATTTGGAGAATAACATGTGGTCAATTGCAGTTGGCGGTTGATCATGAAGTGGTTGAAGCAAACAGCCAGACAGTCTTGCATGTACAGCAGCAAAAGCCAGTGCTGCCGGGGTGCTATTATACAGTCGACATCCCTTTGTTCGAAAACCCACTTCACAAACTGCCTTTGCCGCTTGTCTGCCTGGGCCATGCCGACGACCCAACATGGCATTCATTCAGAACCCCAGGCAGGGACAATCGTGGGACCAGCCTTCGTGCCCAGCGTCTTGTTGCCAGAGTTTTGCCGGCTGTCCAGCCTTGTCTTGTACCAATGGGACCTCACAAGCTGATCAGATCTGATCAGGAGAAAATGTTCGCACAACCTATGATAGCCTCAGGAGTTCCCAAGGATGCCGGAAAGTGCCAAAAGGAGCTCTCTATAACTGCTATCTGCTATCAAGCGTCATAAGGTCACCCATGTTTTTCATCCTGGCCTGGCTGCAAGAATCAAGAAGGCCAAGATAGGACATATTCCCATGCAACAGCGCATCTTACTCTACCCCCCACCTCATCCACAGGAACTTTCGGCGTAGTTCGCGAACGAGTTATGGACAAAGTGTCGACGTTTCGACCTTATCTGCGAGAGATCTGTGGCGACCGAAGCAAAGCAACAACCCATTCTGTCAGTGTACAATGTTACAATACGTTACAATGTCCTACTGCGTTCGAGGTCAGGGCTGATTTCCTCCAGCAAGATGGGTCATCAGAAAGACACAAATGCAAATCAATCCAAAGACCATTTGAGGAAAGCAAGAAATCCTTGTATTCCTTTACCAGCCATCTGTCTGCAAATTATGAAAGTTGGACTAGCAGTCCTGGAGAGAAGTCATCAAATGAACTCGATCTTTGGCAAAAGTCCTGTGGAATGAGGGTCCCAGCTGTTCCAACACACCTATCACCTCTCCAGGGGGATTTATTCAGCCAGAGAGGTAGAAGGAGTGACAAAGCTGGATCGAGATAAAATGGATAGATCATGATAGATCTAGACCATTCAAATTGATCGTAGAAGCTGATATCACAATCAAAACAAAGGGATAGGAGTAATTTGACCATTGCCAAGCTGCGACTTCAACAGTCGTGGGCTCAAAGCCAGCAGAACTGTTGATATGGCTCGTCGCAGAATAGACGATGCCTAAGCTGGATCAAGCACGTGTGCTCTTCTCCTTGCCATGATAAATGCATCACCTGTTATAAAACCGTCACCAAGTTGCTACAACGCTTTCACCGGCATCGCCCATGATGATGGAGACCTCATGCCACCGTCCAAGATCCAAAGGAAAGAAGCCATTTTGAGGCTCCATGAGGTCGGGGCTATGTCCTCCACTTGAAGTTGTTCCACAGGTTTGTGGCAAGTTCCCAGCTCTCGACAACCTGAAATGCCAGGCAAGGTGGACGGAATTCGACATGGCTCTTGTGACGTTGCGCCTGGAGGCTGAGATGCTAGGAACGCCAGCAAATCCCAACCTGTCGGTATGAAAGCAACAACACTTGCAACGCAGATAGCCCAGTCTCCCTATCAGCCCGACCTTGCTGGATGCCCTGAGCATTCAAAGGAGAATCATAGAAGAGCGAGTCTCTTTGAAAGACCATGGACGCCTTGCAGGTGTCGTCATCGCAAAGACTTGCTCTGACCATCTGACCTATTTCATCCTATTTCTCTCTCATTGATGCTTCGGACAAGTCACAGAAAATCATTTCACCTGTTTCACCTGCAATCGCTGCAATCCCCAGACCTCTTTGATCAGCGCTCGGACCAAGCGAATGGGTAAGAAAATCTTCCAGCCCTGCAGCTCCACAAAGAGTCAGTGGCGCCAAGCCCCGAATCCAATCTGTCCCCTGCCTTGTTGAACACTGAATTCCATTGAGACTCACCATGTCTGATGAATACAATCCTCGCATCATGCGCGAGGGAAAAAATCAGGAGGGTTAGGGGTGTGTTTTTTTTGCCAATCTGAATGGGAACTAATGAAATAGCAAACATCTGGTTATCTTCCGCCAACATCTTCACCCTCAGTGCTAAGCACAGGCCAAGGATCTTCATGCGTTTGCAGTTGGGAGAGCTCTTATCTATCTTCATGTCCGTGGGCTTACACGGCCTTAGCACGGTAGTGTGGGTCCAAATGTCAGCGTTTTGGAAGGATGCAGAATGGGTCACTCCAGTAGCACCCTTGGGGCCTCTGCTTTTTGTCACCTTAGGTTCATCTTTTTGTGCGCCGGACATAGCAAGAATAAAAAGGCATTCGCAGCATGGACGTCGTGCAGTCTTGGCTAGCTACGCGCCAGAAAGAAATAGAAGAAACCCCACACGGCCAATTTTGCCTGGACAAAGCAGCGTTCCAATTCATCAGCGGCCCTGTCTGGTCTCAGTGTTTCTGAATTTGCTTGCCCGATTCTGGTTGAGTTTCAACCTGGCCTTCGGCACTATTAAGAACGTGAGGAGAGCCTTAGGATTCTGACCACAGAATCTTCGTTGGCACTCACAGTGCTGAGTTCGTGACAAATCCAATCACAAGCAGCAGAACCCACAGCAGCGATTCCTTAGATTCGGCGTGAAGTCTGGAAAGCTAATTTGGGGCAATGTCAATGCTTGGGTTTAAGTTTAAGGGAATTGACCACCCCAAAGCAATGGTTTTTACATGGTTTTTACCGCAAAATGTTGGGGAAAACAGGATCTAAAGAGCTGCCAAAAGTCTGGAGCCAATTTCCGCTGACCAAGCGTGGCATGTGCAACATCTTGCACCACCCCAACCTATGACACAGCAACAAGAAAATGGCTATGGGTCAAAATTGCGTACCCCCATGATTAAATGGTTTATACTAATTAATACTAACAGTAAACTAAAATCAGCGCTCCCCTGGATCTTGAATTTTGACCCATGCCCAAATCTACCCATCAACATTGTTTTATGTCAGTTGAATCATTGTGAATCCATTGGACATCCGCCAAATGGGGCCTCAGAGATGGACTCCAGAACCTCTTGAACTGCTGGCACTGCAGAGAGTCTGACCACATAGTCGTGCAGCTGGGCCTGGGCACTTTCCAGCGACTTGAACTGACTCGAACTGACACTGACTAGAAGATGCATACTAGAACATAGTATATATATATATACAGAACAATGTAGCCGCGTAGCCATGGAAAGCCTTCATATCAGCCATATCACCTGGTAACACATGGTACACAGCCTCCACCAGTGTGCTTCGTGTGCTTCGTGTGCTTCGTGTGCTTCGTGTGCTTCGTGTGCTTCGTGTGCTTCGTGTGCTTCGTGTGCTTCGTGCCTGTGCCACCATGACCTTCGCACTCATGGGTTCCAAAAAGTCAGCTGCCCCCGTGGCCGCAGTAAAGGCGGCATCTGAGGCTGCCAATGCAGTTGGCTTGGCAACTGCCCAAGCACTCAGCAGTTGCTCCTTGACCACATCGACATAATGCGACACATTAAGGTGCGCCCCATCCATGCCTCGCAACAGGCATGTGATTCATGTTTATTCGATAGATCATGATAGATCTCAGGTACAAAAATGTCTGCACAGACGCTGATAGAATGATCGCGGGCTGTTGGTCAAGAAAGCTGTTGGCCGGCTGTGGTGCCCTATGAATGTCCACTCACCACAGCAATACTCCAAGCCTGGGCCCTGTCAAAGGGAGGCAGCAAGGCGGCAAGGAAGTATTAGCTAATGTTTGAGCAAATCATTGCTTCACAAACGCCCCTAATTGTATGCACTGACTTGCAAGCTAGCCACTGGCCTTCAAAAGTCACAAAGCATGAGAAAATCACTGACAAATCTTCAGAGTAATTGCCATGTGCACGGATGTTTCCACGCCATGACCAGCATTCCAAGAAGTGCCCAGCAATCCAAGGATGATACCGGATAGGGATCTGCAGGCACAGCACCTCATCAAGGCACCACTTGCAGGGCTCCAAATTCCGCACACTTCAGCAGTGTCCCGCCTCCAGTAGCTGGCAATCCATCTCCAAGGCTGGTTGCCTCGAGCACTCCCAGCAGGGTCCCAGCAGATTTCACTGCCTTGACAAGCCGTCACTAGCCGTCAGGCACGTGAGGCACGTGAGGCGCCGGCAAGGCCGGCGGCAACCTCCATGGACGTCTGCGCCTTGGGATCCTTCAACTCTTCGGTGAAGCCCCTGCCGCAACATGACTTTGGGATGCCGCCATTATTGAAATGTTCAAATGGGAGAAGTTGGAACATGTTGGGACCCCACACACCCCTCGGGACTTGCTCCGGCAAAAAGGTCTTTCAATCTGCTGCCAAGTTGCAAATCCTTGAGGAAACGCTCGATGGTTGCCAGCTTGTGCTCATCATTGTGGTCTTGGCACAGTGGGAAGCCCATCAAAATAATCAAAGACTGTCACATCGGGACAAATTGCAGCCCGGACCAGGCTCTGGATGGCCCCATTTTTGCTAAGCATCACACAAATCCGCCGGTATTCTTCAGCGTCTCGCTGGGGAATGAAAGGCGTACATCTGGCGACACCGGTGCACATCATGCACCATCTATCTACATGGACACCTGCAAAAATTTACGTCACCTCTTGTAGAAAGCCTTGTCCTTCCAAGAATCATTTAGGTCCTGCTGCGGAAAAGGATGGTGATAGTCCAGACATATGGTTGCGAAAGTAACAGATTACCTGGCAACTGATTCTGTCCTTTTCCAGCAGCTTGCGACGTGAGAGCCAACGGCCTCTTGCAGCATGTCACTTTCACGATGCTGACACCGCTTGGCATTGTTTGTCTTGGAGAATCTTCGTTTTGAATGCTAAGTGGGAAGCCTTTGCCAGCACCAACCTTCCCCTGTCGCGCAAAGGAGTCATAGACTGTCATAGATATTCAAAAATGTCGCCGTAAATCGCCGTAACATCGGCAGCCTCGTCCAGTACGTTTCCGTAGTTGGGTCGTGGACCTGGAAAGATTGATATTCCGCTCAGCTGCTTCCGGTGCTGAACATGGGCCTTTTGGTAACGGGATCAGCTGTGCAACGATCTCCTTGATTATGTCTTTGTGCCTCACAGGTTCGGGTAGACTCGGTAGACGCTCAAAGTTGTGGTTGAATCTTGGGAGAAGAGGGAGGAGGAAAAAAAAATGTATTGGTTTCGGTAGAAATGCCACAAATGACTAATGACTAATGTTACCCTGCACAGTGGTGATGGCAATTTTGCGGATAAAGGAAAAGGGACTGGCGTTAGCTCAGAAAAAACTGCGTGGCAAGGAGCTTCCCATGATCCGTCTGCTTTACGACATCTCCACGTTCAGGACGGTCCAAGAGCACTGTCGCCTCGGAGCCATGAGCCATGGGCAAAGCTGATCGCAACGGAGGACCAGCTCCAAGGCGCCAACACCAGGATCAGCCTACGCAGATTCCAGGGTCAAGGCAATCTGCTTCAGCTTCACTGAGGCATGCTGAGGCTGCAGCCAAGTATTCGGCCAGTGATGGTAGCCAGTTCACACCACGTTTCAGGCTGACCTCGCTTTCAAGATGGACCGGGAAATCAGGTCACGTTGAAATTTTCCTCATGACCCCCCATGGTGGCTGTATGCTGCTATTCAATACGTGCGCAACACTGCAGCATGCCACGACCTGCTTGGATGGACGGCGCTTCGCCTGTGGCGATGTTTGGATTCATCCTTCATTGCTGATGTTTGGGTCTGCAATGTGCAGCTGGTGAGAACTATCTCACCTGCCGCTTTTCTCGGGCGCTGTGCGGCAAATCCGCAGACCTTACTCCACAGATTCGGTTCCTTCACAGTTCACTCTTGGATTAAACTAAGGGCCTGGTCACAAAACATGGGAAGCAAACAGTTTTTGAAAACTGTTTCAATGCCACCAAACGTTGTTTAGAGGCTGCAGGTGTGTCAGGCTGATTGCTGCAGATGCTTCGTTGCAACCATGGGCTGAGCCACCAACAAATGCTAGATTGGAACAAACATGCCGTTTCACTGAATGTTTGACATGTATACTGTATACTTAAATATTTGTGGAATTTGATTATTTGTGTGTATACTATCTCACATATATATATCCCTTTTGGCCTGCAGACTCAAGATTTCCCGCGTGGGCTGTGCGCTATTGGCCAGCTGGTGAAAAAGGATGGAATTCCAGCCACCACAACACAGCTCATCCTCAAACTCAATCTCAATCCAAATGCAAGATTCAAAAGTGCTATCCAAAAAATGGGTGGTATGTGGGTATGGGCCCGAAAAGGCTGCGAGCCAGCTCTGATTCTTCCATCTGTCAAGGGATAGAAGGTCATCCCTTTTGGCCTGCAGACTCAAGATTTCCCGCGTGGGCTGTGCGCTATTGGCCAGCTGGTGAAAAAGGATGGAATTCCAGCCACCACAACACAGCTCATCCTCAAACTCAATCTCAATCCAAATGCAAGATTCAAAAGTGCTATCCGACTCCCCCAGTACTGCATCGCAAATCCAGAAAAGAATGAAGCACAGGCCACGCAAATTGAGATAGAATCGAAATACGAGTTTTTGATACAGAATCCAAATTATGAATCAACACAAAAGCCCCAACCTCCTGGAGATAGTATTCCAGGGTTCGAGTCCTGGACCAACGACCCCTCCAAGCAACCCAAGCCAAATCTTCTGTCTGTTGATAGAAAAATGTAGCCCCGCTGCCGCGGAGGACACCAGGCGTGGCACCATTTTCAGCTTGAGTGTGCGGTACACCCAAACGCTGCATCACTGAATTCCACTGCTTTCGAAACAGAGTCATGGAGCCAGTGTATAGCTTGGAGCCAGGCAACAATTTCCCAAACATGGACTCAGCAAAGAAAATGATTTCAGGATCGTCAATCCGCCCATGTTGCCTGCGGGCAAACCGCGCGGTTTTTGGGTCTCGGACTCGAACATACAGGCTGCCTGTATCAAAACTAATATCACTTGGGAAAATTAAGTCTTCACGGTGAAGGGCCATAATCTCGGATGGATGCAACATTGCTGCAAACCCAAGCAGAACCAAGGCGGCCCAGCAAGGCCACTGCCACAACACTGCTAAGCAAACGGCAGCTTTGATAACACTGGGTGGCAATACTGATCTACACATGCCAGGTTCGTAAATTTGCCACTTCTTGTCAATCTGCCAAGCCATGGTCATCAAAGGTCTGCATTGAGGCAGCTGATCTTGCACAGCAGTGATTGCATACACAAATTGATACCGAGGTAAGCCCGTTTCAAAACAGAAAAGGCCGTAGGCCCGCAAACCATAAACTACCGCCTCCGAGTCGGAGCGCAAAGTGGCCCATGGAATTTTCAACTCACTCTCACACCATTTTTGGAAGCTCTCCAAGCACTTGGACATCCTATCAGCAGTTGCAGCCGCAAAACCGATGCGCAAATCCAAAGGGCCACGATATGGCCCTGGGTTGGGCTCAATATCGCCACAAACCATCAGCAAAAAACGTAACCATCTTGCAGGATTTTTCTCGAACTTTGCAGAAGCAGCCACTCGATCGAAGCCACTTGGGTCGCCACGAGACAGCGCCTCAAACCAGCTTGGAGTGGGCCGGCTGGGCGGTCGCACTGAGCGATATCTCGTGGGGTCATCAGCACGATTTTCTTTGGAATAGATATGAAGCAAACCAGGATATAACCCACCACCAATGATATAAGCAATGCACCCTTTTAGAACCCGACTAAGAGCATACGAGCTAGAGCGACCCTTAGTTGTAGCACCGATTGTGACCCTACTGTCGAGTAAGCCTACAAAACGGGAATCAGGATGGCTCTTGGCGACTGCTTTCAACCAGGATTTATAAGTACGGAGCTCATTAACATTGATGTGGCCAGGTCGTCTGAATTTATACCTAAACATCTCACGAAAATTCAGGAATTCACAAAGCTCAGAATGCCACTCAGGATTTTCATACCATGAACGCAGAGGAAAACTGGCTTCGGTTGAAACTGGGATACTAAGGTCTTCGTCAACCAAACCTACCTCTTGCAGTGACTGGAGCTTCTTTGACACTGGAATCTGATCGCAGGACCCCTGCCTTGCTGCCAATGAACCACTGGCCATCCCATGAACCAGGCGCATAGGATATGCTGAGGAGAACGATGCAACAGAGGATCCTAAGGTGGGTTCATGACCGTAGACTTCCAAACATGAAGGTTGGCACATGGACTTAAACTGGACTAGGCGGTCTTTGGTGAAAACCCCTCGGATCACAAAGTGCTCATGCTCACGGGGGCATTGACATGCACCTTCAAATTTCAGCAGCCACGGCTTGTTATGCAACCACTTTGAAGCCTTTTGAAATGCACTGCCAAACCGGCAAAAAGCGAAATGGGACACAACACACCCTAACCGGACAAGAGTCTGGAAACAGTGCAGCAAAAACAGTCTGGAGTTCCTCGGCTGCTCCACGCTGATGAACTGCCCCATCATCACGGCAATAGTCAAAATCATGGCACACCTGCGGGCCAACATGTTGTGATATGCAGTGAATGGATCGCTGGGATTGAACCCATAGGGCACCTCTATGGACCTAACCTGAGGCCTCCTCAAAGTCCCAAAACTCACACATGGCACTCCTGCATGCCATTCGCGAACGACGCGTCTTGCAGCTAAGCTGGTCAGCTCACGGAAAACGGCATGGCTCGAAAGATCTCCGCACCTAAGCCTCCTACCATCAATATCGAACCCATCATGGCATGTCAAACCCCTGGAAGTGTGCACGGTACTCCAATTACCGGAACCTCGGAAGATCTCGCAGCAGTCATAAAGGATACCTTCACTAAGGGGCTTGGGAACATATTGAGGGGGAGGAACAGGGCTACAATTATAGGGCTCATGAGCAAACTGCTCATCTGATTCACAGGGCATGTCTAACTCGTTTAAAACAGCAGCGGCTGGGTTTTGCAGCCGGGTGTAGTAACCCTTTTGTTCGCTGTGTCTCCACAACTCTGCTGTGACGTGTTCTGACACCGGTGCCTTGCAGACCGCCCCCCATGTGGGGGAGGCGTCGGTTGCATATATGCTGGTTGCATTTGACACCCTCAAATCAGACTGCGCTGTGGGCCCTAAAGCAGCAAGGAGAACCAACTCATTCCGTGCCTGGTTGCTCAGGCAAAAAACTGCATGACTGGCCAACCCACGACCCTGTTTGAAAAGATCATCAATCAAAGCAAAAAGGGCCCTTCTGAAAAGCAAGACATGAATCCAACACCCCAAAACAATCTGCAGCAATTTTGGCGTGCACGTGCCGCGGTGCGCAATGGCAATGGAAATCATGCTCAACACAAGGATCCGCTGTCTAGGCGCCATGACTCGGCCGGCAAGGCCATCGAAGTCAGCCCCCAGGATTACCCCTTGGGTCATGTTTCGTTTCTTCTTTTTCTCATGCAAAACCAAACCAACTTTCTGATAGGCCTGGGTAGCCTCCTCAAAAACTTCGGTGTCACGCAGCCTAGGCTGAGAATCGAAAATACATCTGGGGACCCGCTGAATACCTACATGATCATCAATGGCAAGCAATTCGATAAAATCAGTTCGGGGAACTGGCCACCTATATTTCAAAACTTCATCATGTTTCATGGAGCCGCACAGGGTCCGGAGAACTGACGCGTGAGCGGCCTGTGCCACTTCCACGGCGAGATTATCGCCCATAGCAAGCGTTTTCAAGCAGATCAAAATAGGCTTACCTTCGAGAGATGGATTGTAACATTTAAAGTCACGAACCTCATCAGATCTAACCACAATCCGAAATGCATTGCGAATGGCGCGATAATGGCTAACTCTAAAGGTATAGTAATAATCTGAAAGATCATCAGCATTGAACCTAAACATGTCATCAGGTTTCAAATGCAGCATGCTAAGGAGGCACCCTGGGGCAAGCTCTTTGGTAGCGGAGGCTAACGAAAACATCCTACCATTAATGACTTGAGGGTTCACAATGAGCCGATCATTTTCTGAATCCTTTGGAACACAAAACAAACCGACAGCTTCGTCCATGTTTTTCAAGTTGGCATCAATGAGACAACATGCATGAAGGTCATCCCAACGTCTTGCAAGCTTAAGAAACTCGCGCCTAGAGCAGTGGACCTTGGCAATGCGTTTCTTCTCCCAAAGGTCAGGAGGTTTCCTCATGACTTCAGGGTTCTCATATGCGGCTTTCAACAGGGGGTCTTCCAAAAACTCGGACGCTGCGAAGCTTGGTGGACAGTTCCACTTCACACGGTCCGAAACGACAGGCAATGCACTCGTGGGATTTGGATTTCGTACACTGCTCTGACAAAAGTCGAATTCACACTGATGACTCTGGGCTTCATCATTCTGTTCAGTCCTACCCTGATACGACGACAAATTGTTACCGTATGGATCAAGGCCGGAATGCACATGCTCAGCTAATTGAGTTAGGTCCTCTAACCTTGACTTACACCAAGGCAGTTCCTGGATGTTCTGAATTATGCCTGAAAACTTTTCCTTTGCCCGGGCAAGAAAATCACCAGTGAAATCTTCCATGTGAAGATAGTGCATCAAGGAATCAGTGATCCTTTCAATGATACCGTGCTGTGCGCTGGAGATTGGCGCCCCTAATTGGGCGTGACTCAACGTATGAGCAGGAAACCCAAGCGTCTCCCAATTCAGGCAGCATAAGACTATGTTCAAAAGCTCATGACATGCCCTCAGAAGACGGTGACGGCGTCTCCTCTTAGGATTCAGGCTTCGTGGTGCTGTCCATCGCCACCTAGCGGGGGGGACAGGCCAAAGAGAGCGGTGATCACCCTCTTCAACAGTACAGGCACTATTTAGTGTTAGGCTTTCACGAATGAAATTCCCAAGGCCGCAGGGCGCGGATCTTAGGCCCCTACACATATGCAAAACTAAATTAATGCAGTTAAAAACTCGAGAGGATTCGGAGGCTAAGTCAGGAAGCTTGACGTCAAAATCAAAACTGCTATGCTGATGGGAGGCACAACTAGGGAACTCTGACGACGAACTAGAGCTGGGACTACTGTGCGTGGGGCCATGACTGCAGAGCTGAGAGGTCACTCGGCTGCATCGTTGGCATCCTGGGTCTGCCCAGTCTGATTTGACTTGCCCTTCCCCTTGCCTTTGGGTCGGGACTTTGGCTTGGCACGAGGCTGAACTTCCTCGTCTGCTTGGATGGCTGCTTTGGATGGTTTTCCCATGTTTTGCATTCGAGCTTCGATATAGTCCAGATCTTTCACATACGCCAAATTGGCGCTGATCCAGCTCGGGGCACACAATCGGCTGAATGGTTCCATTCCAGGCCGCCGACGGTGGTTCACGAGAAGGTGATAGGGCGGATCTTGCAGTCCTGTCAATAGCCAGGAGAGTTGAGTGCGGCCTGAGTCCAATGCCGTCTGTTCTATATACATCATCATCCGCCCCATAGTGCCCATCAGCTCCACATTGTTGCTCTGATGAGCAATTGACCACCCTTCTGCCACCAGGGTGGCAAAGTGGCTGAGCATCTTGTGGTCGGCCAAAGGAATCCTCCGTTCCATGTATTTCCTCAGCAGATTGGAGTCTTCCTTGCCTGGGCTCAGTCCTAGCTCCCTGATCGCTGAAGCACGGACCACTGCTGCCACCGTTGGCAAGTCTTGAACCGCTCGGATGAAAACATCCCTGGCCAGGCAACCGCGCACGCCGCTTGATGAGGCGGCGGAGGCGCTGTCCGATCCTCCCCCGCCCAGAGCTTTCAGAACCGGGTCGTTCGTCCGGTTTCCAACCAACTTCTGCAAGAGGATCTGATTCTGCTGCAAGGAGGCTAGAAGCATGGACTGGACCGGATCGGCATTGGGATCTTGAGCTAACAGTTTCAAAGGGTCGACCTGCTGGCCAAAGTCCTCCTCCACTGCCTCGCGCTCGAGGTCCACATACAGAGACTCCTGGCTTTGGATGGCTGGGGGAAGAGGCGGTCGGCGTTGCTCTGCCGATGCAACCCTGGGCGGTGGGGACCCAGCGAGAGTCTTGAGTTTGTTCCAATCTGCTGTCGACAGGTTTGTGGGCCCGCCTTGGAACAAACCTGCAGCTTTTGGAGCTTGGCTGGGAACCCCTGCACTGCGACCGGGAAGCAGCGGAACAGTGGTTTGGCTGCGTTTCACTTCCGACTCCAGTTCTATGATGCGAGCTTGAAGCTGGCTGATGATGTCTGGATCGGTCAGATCTACGGGCTGGCCCTCTTCGGCACTGAGATACTCCTGGGCTGTCTGTGGATCCATTTCTTCGACCCATTGGGCAGCAAGTGCGGCCACCGACTCTGCAGAGGGTTTGCCTGCAGAGCCGGCCTCGGTCACAAAGCCTAACACTTTGAACTGCTGTGCTTGAGCGCCACGAAACTGAACGGCTGGGAAAAGACAAGCTGCAAAACCCCAAGGCAGATCGACAAGCTCGGCATCGCATTCTCCTACTGCTTTGCCCCTGGAATTCAGCAACGCAATCTTCCCTCCATAGAACATGGGACCACCTTCGGTGCCACCTTCGGGTTCTAGATCTACCACAGCCTGATGGACAAGCTCGGCAACTGGTATGACTAACATGAAGCCATTCTCCCGCACTGATGCAATGCCAGCCAAAAACAGATTGTGATCCGGCGGCTGCGCGCCTTGAATTGGAACATGCACTGCTGGAACCACTAAAGCCCCTGACGCATCGGCCCGAAGCTGTAGGATTCCGTCGCCCGTCAAGGGCGTCCTCACTCTTCCTTGCGCTGAGGCCATGGTTCCCCAGCACCTGCCACGTATGCCTCTGCCTCAGCCTGGCTGGGGAAAGCGTGGCAGACTGCGTTCTGATGAAAACCACGTTTGGAATGATCTTGAACAGCAGCGATGAAGAGATGATATTGATGGCCCCAAAAAGGGCGCCCACCAGTGCGATCACGAAGAACAACGTAAACGGTGTTCCTCTGGGGGATGGATGGGCTGGCGCCCGACTGAATCTCACCTGCCAGTTGCCTTCGAGCCACCACACCGGCCCTGAACGCACGCCCGATACGGGCTTGGGCAGTCCACTCAGCACCTACTGGCGAGTCACGAAGCCGAGGTGCCAAATGTCCCAAAAATGGAATATTGAGGGCCTCACACGCCCGAGCAGTTGATGCAGCAATTGCAGAGTCCTGCAACCTGTGATCCACTTCAAATTGAACCCTGGGTGCTTCAGCAGATACGGAGTATGAGACTGAAGGTCCAGATGTGATCGGTCTTGCTGTGATTGTCAATTCCAGTCCGGCCAACCTAACAGTGATTGACTCCACTGCCTCGGATGACATGCACTAGGCTCGACGATACTCAGCAATGCGGCCGCGGTGATCCAGGCCAAAAGTATTCCCAGTCCAGGAGGCACAAACCAGTTGTAGCACTTGACACAGGAATTTGCGGATTGGTGAAGAAAACACAATGGATCCCAAAATGAAACCAATGCCACAACAACAGCAGCTAAGGATCACCCCGCACAAAATGATCACTCCCCAGGGACAACTGCTCGTGGACGCGGTAGACCAGAAACGCAGCTCCCTGACTGCGTCCACCAAGGCCCAAGATACCATTCACTTGACCCGAAAAGGCTGCGAGCCAGCTCTGATTCTTCCATCTGTCAAGGGATAGAAGGTCATATATGTGTGTGTGTGTATGTATGTATGTATGTATGTATGTATGGATGGATGGATGGATGCATGCATGCATGCATGCATGCATGTATGTATGTATGTAAATATGTATGTAACTATGTATGTAACTATGTATGTAACTATGTATGCATGTATGTCTGTATGTATGTATGTCTGTATGTCTGTATGTATGTATGTCTGTATGTCTGTGTGTCTGTATGTCTGTATTGGTGTATGTGTGTATGTCTGCATGCCTGTATGTCTGTATGTCTGTATGTCTGTATGTCTGTATGTGTGTATGTGTGTATGTGTATATGTGTGTATGTGTGTATGTGTGTATGTGTGTATGTGTGTATGTGTGTATGTGTGTATGTGTGTATGTATGTATGTATGTATGTCTGTATGTATGTCTGTCTGTCTGTCTGTCTGTCTGTCTGTCTGTATGTAGGTATGTATGTATGTATGTGTGTATGTGTGTATGTGTGTATGTGTGTATGTGTGTATGTACGTGTGTATGTACGTGTGTATGTACGTGTGTATGTACGTGTGTATGTACGTGTGTATGTACGTATGTACGTATGTACGTACGTACGTATGTATGTATGTATGTATGGATGTATGGATGTATGGATGTATGGATGTATGGATGTATGGATGTATGGATGTATGGATGTATGGATGTATGGATGTATGGATGTATGGATGCATGCATGCATGCATGCATGTATGTATGTAACTATGTATGTAACTATGTATGTAACTATGTATGTAACTATGTATGCATGTATGTATGTATGTATATGTGTGTGTATGTGTGTATCTGTGTATGTGTGTATGCATGTATGTATGTATGTATGTATGTCTGTATGTCTGTATGTCTGTATGTCTGTATGTCTGTATGTCTGTATGTCTGTATGTCTGTATGTCTGTATGTCTGTATGTCTGTATGTATGTATGTATGTATGTGTGTATGTCTGTATGTGTGTATGTCTGTATGTCTGTATGTCTGTATGTCTGTATGTCTGTATGTCTGTATGTCTGTATGTGTCTGTGTGTCTGTATGTCTGTATGTCTGTATGTCTGTATGTCTGTGTGTCTGTGTGTCTGTGTGTCTGTGTGTCTGTATGTCTGTATGTCTGTATGTCTGTATGTCTGTATGTCTGTATGTCTGTATGTCTGTATGTCTGTGTGTCTGTGTGTCTGTATGTCTGTATGTCTGTATGTCTGTATGTCTGTATGTATGCATGTATGTATGTATGTATGTACGTGTGTGTGTGTGCGTGCGTAGGTGTGTACATGCATGCATGTATACATATCATTGTTCTTAAGGAGCTGCAACGAGTGCCGCATAATCATCGCTCAGCCACAACCATCCGTTAGTTCCAAATCAAGCAGCTTCTTCATTCGAAATAACTGGCACTCTGAGTTTCAAGCGTCAGAAATGCACTGCTGGGTTCTTCGCAGGGTGATGCCTTGATGTGGTCTGACGGCAAAACCAAAACTCGAGGGATTAACGCCAAATATCCCAGGGCGAGAACCGGTCTGGTGTGCCTGGGAGAAAAGCCCGCAGACCCAGAGCAGCAGAAAACAATCAGAAAACGCTAGGTGGAGCCAGCCTTGGGGTTTGCAGCATGAGCTGCATGTTTTCCTTTCTGGCCTGCATTGGGCATAAGAAAAGAAGACGCGAAACCTTGACCCTGGTGCTCCAGCTCTGCGGGACACAGTAGATTGATTGCAGCCTCAAAAGCAGCATCAGCATCCGACTTTACCTGACAACCAGTACCCTGCAGTAAAGAAACACAACTTCATAGAAGGTGATGCTGCAGCCTGCTCAACCCGGCGAAAGGAGTCTTTGATGTGAAGTTTCCTTGGTCATCAGGTCATCCCTACTTTTTCTCTCCCGAGAAAGTGCCAAATCAGGACCCTTGAGATTTAAGGCTCTGGCAAATGTTTGAAACCATCCTTCTCCTGTCAAACTGCACTTCCACTGTAAAACTGTGCTGGGGGCTCCATGGTGAAACTGCACACAAAAACAGTCTTCCTTGACCAGGATGTCTCTATGCGTACGTCCACTTATACATAGTACATGTACATTTGCACGTGCAAGTTGCTTCCGCAACCACCAAATCCCGCGCTCCTGTCGTTCTTGAACTTGCCCACATCGCGGCAAGTCCTTCCTGAAGGACTGCATCACTTCTCCATCCACAGATCAATCATGAATTTCTCTTCAAATTGGCCATTTCGGAGCGGTGTACCCTAATTTCAGGCACACGCAAATCCATTTTTCACTGGATGAATCTGGATTTTTGATGGATCACTCCCATTTTTCCTCGGTAAACCACCTATTTTTCATGGTTTTGCAAATGCAACAAGCTGTCGCTTTCGATGCCGGGCTCCCGGTCCCGTAGAGTGCATGAGGAAGGCGGCTTAGACTTAGCATCTCCTCCCGATCAGCCTGCCATCTTGCAGAACATCACGGGCATGAGAAGTGCAGATTCAATGGGAACATCATAGATACACGGGGGATCAAAATATAAATAAATAAATAAATAAATAAGTATTACTGTAAATATATAATGACATATATAATAAAATACATAATAAAGTATAGAATAATATATATATACCAAAATATAATATAGTTCCCATGAACCCCCTAATAAATCCCACGAAATCCGTTTTGTTGATGGTCAAACTCATGGTGCACAACATGTATAAACAGGTCCAGAATCTTGTTTCGGTCTGCCTCCAAACTTGCTTCTTCAGCACCTGCCTGTTCATCTTTGACAGCATCCTGCATCGAGACTGCATCTGGCTGCTCGTCTCTTCACTGTTCCGCATGTTCAGCTGGGCAGCCTTTGCATCAGGAGATGTAGCCCTCTCTTTGTCCATGACTTCCTTGTACTTCAACATTTGAAAATTATGATGTTCCAATCCTTAGTCACGCAAGCACAGCCGGAAACATGCTGCGACAGTGTTGCAGTTCCATCTTAGGTTGTTGCTCTTTTCTCGGTCTCTATCCTTCTTGTCCTGGTGCTGCGAATTGGCCTCAGCATATGGTTCCATGCCATCATTTCGCTGCAAGACTACAGTATTTCGCTGCAAGACTGTGCTGCAAAACGCGCGGAACCGATAAGAGCTGGACGTTGCTAGACACTGCAGCTTCGATTTTCGCAACCTGAAGCACTGGACGAAACTGAAGGGAAGCTGCGGCAAGTGGCACACTCAACCCTGATTGACAACAGCTTGCCAGCCTTTGCCAGAATGGAATTGTGCATTTCAAAGACTCGTTCAGGTGGCACTGGAGCACCGAGGGGCCTAATGGACTCAACAAATCAATTTCCATGTTCCTATCACCCAGCCACCCTAAAAATCTGGGAATTGAGCTTGAAGTTTTCGCTGTGCTTGCAGGCAAAGCCTTCTGAACGTCCCCTGGCCTAAACAAACGAGGCAACTTTTGGTCATGTAATCATGTAACTGTTGCACCACAGCTCCGTGTGTTGAAATCTGGGCCCATAGCTCTAGAAGATGCTGCTGAATTTTTCCGGTCCAACCTGCAAAATCAACAAACATCATGGCCACCAGGCGCAACAGGGGCAGCCGTTTCCTCAGGATCTGAAGGCACTAAGGGCACAACAGTCCGGCAGAGTGAGCCTTTGATGATGGACATCTGCCGTCCAAATTGATGCGACGAATCAGAAATGGCAAATCCCAACGACCCATGTTTTATTTTTTCCCCATGGAATCCGCTGTCCCGGCAACAGTTTGACGTGCCCTCACAACAAACCATGCGTCAGCCATACCCAAGGCAAAAAATGTTGCCAAAATAAAACATGTGCATGCATAAATAAACGTACACCTATGTACAAATAACAATATACCTATAAATCATACCATCGTCTCAGTTCCAAACCACCGTCTCAGAGCGATGCAGCCTGAGCGGTTTGGGGTTTGTTGACTGGATATGCATCGCCACGCTGTGTATTCAATTGCCCTTGGTGCATATAGATCCGCACGTAAAACCGGCAGCGACGCGTTCCGGTGGCATCACGCCCAAAGTCGCAAGAGTCATGGTAGCCACAACGGCGAACCTGCTGCAAAGCCACTTCGAAATCTTGGGGACTGTTGAATTTTGGATGGGTTTATCCTAAACTGGAAAGTTCGCACCGGATGCATTGAGTCGTCAGGTTTCCCCGGCGCCTCTTTCTAGCATCATCCCGCTATGCGGGTCATGGTCATTTTTTATGTCTACGCATGGTGCCGCTGAGCCAACACGGTTTGCCATGTAAAATAGTGATGCATTTCGGTGGTGAAGTCCGTTCCACATGATGCCAAAGGGAACCATTTTGGAAAAATGAACGGTTTCGGGGTGGTTAGGCAACATTGCTTGGAATTTGGGAACCCGAAAAATGACTGCACGGATTGTGCCAGCAAAAGCAAGTCAACACGGGCCTTGTGTCCAACTAGAAAAAACGCAAATAGCAAAAAGGGTTATTTTTTGTGCGTCCAAATCTTCAAGCCAAGGCGATATTCTTTGATATGACATCAGAAATAAAATACAAAACCATGCGCCCGTGTTTTGGACTTGGCTATGGAAGTTACCGACTCCCATGGGCATTTGCTCCTGGAAATGGTGCCCTCGCATACTTGATGGCGGATGGACGAAAGCAAGCAGGAGCAACAGCAGGAGTAGAAGAAGGGAATTCAATGCTCCATGGTTCTGCAGCATTAAAAATTGCACAATGACATGGTGTTATTTGGGACACGGCACCGTCAAAATTGTGGAATGGAGATAAAATGAAAGGTATTAGGGCAAGCGTCGGACCTCAACATAGCTAGGGTTGCATTAAGTTTCGGCCTGGTTTAAAAAAAATGTTTGGTTGCATGATTATGTTTCTAAATTATTGTCAATGTGACCGCCACCAACAATTGTGATGCTAATTTTTTTAGTCCACAAAACTGGCACACATCGAACCAATTACCAGATATCGAACACGTTGATGTTGGGTTTCTGGTGGCGCGTTTGGTCACGTCTGGCGCCGCGGCACTTTCTGTGGCAAGCATGACGCTTGGTGACATTGATGTCACTTTCGTGGCAGGCATGGCACTTGCTGACATCGACGTCACTTTTAATTTTGTGTGGCAAGCGTGTCACTTATGGCATCTTTTGGCGCTGGGCTGGGTCTGGCGCCGGGGTCTTTGCGTGGCAGACATCGACGGTCACTTCGCGAAGCAGGCGTGGCACTCGGTGGCATCAACGTTTACTTTGCCTGGGCGCTTTCTGATATTGACGCTCACTTTGTGTGGCGGCAGGAGTGACAATAGTTACGGCAATGGCTCTGGTGGCGCGCTTGGTCGCATCTGGCGCTGCGGCACTTTGTCTGGCAGCTAGCTATTCGACCTGCTATTTCTTGCAACTCGTTTTGACGCAAAGCGTGACTGTCGAGCATTGACCCGTCAGGCGTTTCAGATTCCAGACAAGATTGTGACGTGCCATGTCAAAACTGTTTCAGGTCCTAATGTTTTGGCGTTGGTTGACATGTCTGTTACCAGGTACGTCCTCCCGATCACTTTGTCATCATTAATGGAGGTTCCGTTTTGGCGATTCAGCTAGTTGTTTCGTTTCAATTTCAACCGTGCTCTGTTTTCGTGAGCCCGGCTGCCGGCATGAAGACATACGATCCAAACAAGTGGAAGCACTTCTCGATTTGTGCTGTGTCACCCTTGCCAATCTCGATAGCTCGATGCCGCATGTAGCAGCAGCTATTGCAGTAGCGCACGGCCACTTCAAAGTGGCAAGGCTAAAGGAAATCCCGTAACATGATGTAACATGGGGCGGTTCGGCCCAAAAGTACAGTGGTGATAAATACCAAAGTAAATCGGTGAAGGCACAAATGGGATTAGCTTGGTTTCTTGCACACCACAAAATCCTTTGCCGAAACCGATTGATGTTCGAGATATTCAATCCAACTCAGATGGGAAAATTCTATTCTCTCAGCATCGTCCTGGTCGATCTTGCGGCGCTTCTTCGCCGACACGAACTCCTCGTCAAAGTGGAGGTTCCATTTCTGCCCAATCATCAGAAATTTTCGGAGCTTATCTTGGGCAGTGGATTTTGTCAGTCCATCTGCCAACTGCTGGTCTGAATTGCACCATCGAAGCACGGTCTGTTCCTTCTCAAAGTGGTTCACCATCGCCAGCACTTCCAAGGTGGTGTACTTCTCCTTGACATTTTAGCCCGAGGTGTCGGTCTGAGCTGCATCATACAAGGCCTTCGCATCGATCACCAGGATGCCCAGCACATGCTTTGCAGCGGCCTCAGGGTCAGTCAAGTCCACGGTGTGCCCAAGCATCTCCCACCACTACAATCAGAGATACATCAGCTCCTGTTCGGCTTCCGCAAGAGCTTGGGCTTCAGCCATGAGCGGCACACGCGCTTGAGCTTGTGGCTTCCCCATCACATCACATTCACCTGGCCGCTGACGGCGCCATCCACCATAGATCGGTGCACAAACCCAATGATGTAGCCACCAATGCTGCCAAGGTCTAGCCTGTTGGCCAAAGCAGCATCCGGCCACGAAGGCGGGGTTCTTCTCGGCATTCGTGCAAGCCAAGCTCTTTCTGAGCAGGCACTTCCCGTATCATCTTGTTGATGCCCTCCAGCATGGACCGGTCGCCCTTGGTCAGCATGGACTGGAAGTAGCCCAACTTGGCAGCATGCTGGGGAGCGGCCTGATAGACATGCCATTGCACAGCTCCAAGAACAGCACGAGCTTGATGAAGTTCACCAGGTGCCGAATTCCTTGCGGTTGGACCCGGCCTTGATCTGCATGATGTCCTCGAAGAACTCAGCCTGATCCAATCTCCAGCTGAAGTCTGGATATTGCTGCAGATTGACACCGCAGTGCACCAAGGGCGGTGCCTCCCAAGGACTCCATCGCAGGGCCATGTGGCGGAACTTCTCCAGGACCTCAACCCAACGTGGGTCATCTTCACATCCGGCCCGGCTCGTCCTCAACCACATAGATCCACACGCAGGGGTCTGTCATCAGCCGTCGTGGCCGAAGCGTCTCCAGAGTGGAGCCCGCCATCATGTAGAACCCTCTGGGCGCTATAGTGAGCCCATACGCCGCTTTCATGAAGTGCACATTCTGGCTCTCAGCCAACCCCAAGGGAGTTCTGAGCTCTTCCACCGGCTTCCCAAAGATGGATCTGTGGCCCTGGGCCGAAAGGCCTTGAAGGAATGCCGCTTTGGCGTCAGCCTTTAGGAGTTGAAGTCCATAATGGCAGGAGAACTGGAGCATGAGTTGTCGGCTTCAACGCGACATTGTAGGGGACTGAATGGCTAAAAGTCCAACAGGTGGTTCAACTTCAGCCTTCTCTTCGGTCTTGGGCTTGCTGGCTGGTGGTGAGTTCCTGGGCCTCGCAGCTGAGGGAGCTCTCTTATGTTGTCCACCTCAGCCACGACTGCTTGATCGGGTAGTTCTGGAAGTCTTCCCGTCGTGAGTGCGACCTCTTTGAAGTTCTGGGAGCTCTACCAAATCATCATACGAATCATATGATCCTTTGTCCAGGATGCTGGTCACATCAGAGAATGTCCATGGTGTAAAAAGGATGCCATGGAACTTTTCATTGGTGAACTCCTCCAGCATCGAAGCATGTCGCAGTTGGTCTATGTGGACACGTTTCAGGCGTCCTTGGCTGACCAGCCAACACAATCTGTGGGGCCGTCGTACTTGCCCATTGTAGGTTATCTTTGTCTCAAGCCAAAGTATGCAGGCAGGTCCAGACCAACGAGCTTGATGTCGCTTGTAGAACACCAAATCACCAGATTAAAAAAACGAGCCGCACTGGTCTTCATGTTGTGGGCCTTGCTCAACTTCTCAAAGTTTTGCAGCTCCTTGTGCTCCTTCTTGGCATGCTCACGGAGAGCAGCAGTCCTCTGAAACCAAGGTCAGAGAGCTGAGATGTGGTAGATCAGGGCCATCATGAAGACGTTGGGTCTCAGTGAAGTCCCGGCCGGCCAAACACCCATTGAATTGGTGAGTAGCCACCACAGCGACTCATGGAGTTGTGAGCAGCTATCATTGCCCAAGTTGTAGCAATGGGATCATCTTCAGCACCACGAAGATGCGCCTGAAGTTTCTGCTTCAAGCTGCCCACCAAGGACTCAACCTTGCCGATCTGACCATGTGCCTCGGTAGGGACAAACTCCATCTCCACAGCGTGCGTGTGTGTGTGTGTGTCGCCCCATTGTTTAAGGTCACGACCACGATGACCACCCTTCGTGCCCAGTTTAAAGCACTTGGGGTAGCCAAAGTATTGAATCCAGCTCCTCAAAATGCGTTGGTTCACTTCCGCAGGCGCGAACCATCCTAGAATTTCATCCGGTAACACCTCCCCAGTTTCTGGCTCAAGTTCATCCCAAGGGGTGTCATCCGACTCTGCACCAGGTTCATCCTCTTTTTCCCAAGCCGGTCTCACCATTCCACATGCCAGCCGTGGCCATACCATTCTTGGCGGCCGCCAGGATCTTTTTGAGCTACTTCAACATCTATAGGTGGCCGGCTCCAGGTTCTGCAGGGTCGGCACGTTGAGGTGTTGAGGTCGTTCAAAACCTTGTTCTTCTAGACATTAAGGGAGTAACCAAGTAGCCCTTCTAGAGCGCCCACACGGGGAGTTCAGCAGGCGATGCTGGCCTAGACTGCGGTTCTGATGTGGTTTTCTGGTCGCCCCTCAAGCAGCGCACACTTTTCATGCGTGTCACCCTTGCTACATGCAGGGGCCATGCCAGCTTACACAAAAGCTCGACGCCCCGCCTCAGCTGCGCATTCGTTTGATTGCGCGAGCTGATCTTCAAACTATTCAAATGCGTCCGGTTTTCCGTTGTTTTTTTTTCAAGTTGTAGTCCATCCGAATGGTACCCAGGCCAAAATGAAAATGAAACATTTGGGGACAATGCTCAATGGGCTCACGAATATCGACATATTCTAGCGTATGAACGAGAGCATGGACCGCTGGTAAGCGCAATGTCAAGCGCGATTCCGAGTTTCAGAGCCACTGCATCCTAGAGAAGATCGACATGGAAGTTTCGAAAGCAGCGCTGGTGGATGTTCCTCATCCTCAATTCCACCGTCACCAACTCCGTCCATTTTCGGTGGTTCTCTCTCTGCTGGATTTCTCTGTCACCAGCATGTCTTAGGATTGCTTCCCGCAGTCCTGGCACAGCAGTTGTA